AAAATAAATAAATTATAAACAAATCAAATAATAATCAAATCAAATAAGAATAGTACAATTTGTGTAAGTTTAGCAAATTTTTTGGTGGTCATAACTACACTCGGAAACTACAGATAGAGCAAATTGTTGGAAAGATGTGAAGTGCGTCCCACATTAAACAAATTAGGCGATGATGTGAAAATAAAATATTCCTCTCTTCACTTCTACTATATATATTACTAACATACATGTCTGTGTGCTGAATGGGATTAAGAAACTTCAAAGAAATTTCTTCTGGGTTGCTAATGGGGAAGTGGGGAAGAAAGTATGTTGGGTAGGGTGGGAAAAGGTTTGTTTCAAAAGGGAGAAGGGAGGATTAGGTGTTCCTAATATTAGGCTGCAAAATTTGACACTTCTAGGAAAGTGGTGGGCAAGATTTGAAACAGAGCATAGAGGAGTTTGTGGAAAAAGATGGTGGTTGAGAAGTATTACGGGCGGGGTAATGCAGCAGTGGTGGGGGATTTTCAAAGAAGGAGGATATCCAAAGTTTGGTCTGGTATTGTGTCTGGGGGTGCAGGGAATGGAATCGGGTAATATAGTGGGTAAGGGCTTTAGGTGTGGGAGGTTGGTGGAGGAAGTAACATTTGGTTTTGGAAGTATGTGTGGGTAGGGGAACAACCTTTAGGCTAGGTATTCCCAAGATTAAGAAATCTATCAGAGGGTAATGTATAGGGTGAGCATTGGTGAAATGGGGAGATGGAGTAATGGGGTTTGGTCTTGGGAGTTAAAATAGAGAAGGAACCTTTTTGGCAGGGATTGTGAGGAGGAGAGAGAGCATTATTAAATCATAGATAATGTAAGGCGGCTCAGGGGGAAGAAATAAATCTTTGTTTCATAAATTTAAAAATTTGTTGGAGTGAGATTTAAAATTTTAATTTTGAAGTAGTTTTAAGTAAAAATTTTAAAAATTTTTTAATAAAATTTTAAATTTATAAAAGAAAATTTTGTTTAAAAGCAAGTTTGCACCAAACAGCACATTATTCATACGAGCCAGACCAAAGGACCGCAGCTGGTTGATGCGTATAACTGATTACATGCATTCATAAATATGGCAAGTGATGGGAACACAATCCACATGTAACATTTCAAATAACACATTGATGGGATATCTTTTTTAATAAAATTAAATTTATTAAAATTAAAATAGAAGTATAAAAAGTACTTCAACCCATTATATATATATATTATCACAAAAGTTGTTCGAATTACATTATTCAACACAAACCCAAACAATATTCCTAGATAGTTTATGTTCTTTTACATGCTTCCCTGTGATTCTCAATCGACAAATCTTTGGGCATTTCTTCATTTAGCTTGGCTTTCACCCAGTTTAGCGAATGCTAATCCACGGTAGCTAAATTGTCATTTTTTTCTTTGAAAATCAATTTGTTCCTCCACAACCATATGGACCAAATAACTGAAAACCAAATCACATACCATGCTTCCTTCAAGATTCCATTTTGCAGCATTTCAACGTGTTGCTGTAGATGATTCCAGCCTTCACATGCAAGAATAGTCTGCAGGCCCACCACGCGTAAGAAGCTTGCCAAACTTACCCAAGTTGCCTCATAGGTGAGGAATAAATGGCTAACTGTTTCAGTATGCTTTCCACAAAAGATGCATAAAAAATCAACTCTGTTCCAACCATCCCTCTTTTTAACAAATTATCACTAGTTGCAATTCTATTTTGCAAAGATTTCCATACAAATGCTGAAACTTTAAGTGACACCTTTTTATTCCATAACATGTTGAATTCTTTTGAAGTTGGCTCTATGGTGTTGCTATTCAATATGATGTATGCAGATGTTGTGGAATAGGTTCCTTTCGGATCAGGCCTCCACCTCCAGGAATCTTGCTTTCCTTATACTAGCTTACTCCCTTGCAGCAGCCCGTTTTGATCCGGCAAAAAGGCATATTCACATCCTAGCAACTCCCTATGTTAACACTATTTCCAAACCCATTCTCCATCCCTTCGTTCTCCCATATTTTTAACCAACTCATCCTTATGTTCTGCCAACCTAAACAACCTATTAAACTTCTCCTTAAAAGACATATCCCCACACCATTTATCATGCCGGAAAAAAGTATCAGTCCCTTCCCCCCTAGTCTTCACCGTACCCTTATGAACCCATCCTTCTTTAGTTCCAAGATCTTTATCTAACTTCCATAGTGCCTTCCACCAAGATGAGCAGTTACATTTCACCTCCTTCCCCTCCCAATCCCTTCTCCTATGTACTCCATATTTTGCCTCAACCACCTTATTCCATAATGCATCTTTTTCTACCACTAGGCTCCATTGCCATTTTCCTAATATGCCAGATTAAAGCTATCTAAATCCTTAACACCTAGACCTCCCTCTCTATTTCTACATACTTTATCCCATCCAATCCATGCTATCTTCCTATCACCCTCTCCACCCCCCATAAAAATCTTTTTTGAATTAGGGAAAAAAGGTTAATTACCTTTTTAGGAGCTCTAAGGGTTGAAAAAAATTGACTGGGATACTTGATAGGACATCATTTAAGAGAACAATTCTTCTACCAAAGGACAATGATTCACACTTCCAGTTAGACAATTTACGCCTCAAGCAATCAATAATAGGAGCCCACGTGGCAAAATTAGATCCAATCCAAAAATCTAACCCAACCTATCTGTTGTGGATTGGGTCATGGGTCCTATGTGTTAATTCGAAATATGAAATAACCCATATTGAAATTACTTGAACACAAATGAATTGGGTAATGGGTGAGTTGGGTCATCCGAAATGATCCAAACTATTTTTTATTCATTTTTTATTAGATTACTTAAAAATTAATTTTAAATTCCTAATTTTCTAATCCTAAAAATAGAAATAAATAAAATACCCAAACCCTAACCACCCATTAGTTTCCCTTTCTCTCAACTTTTCCTCTTCTCCACTCTCACTCTCCCCTTCTTCATCTCAAGCTCTCTAATCCTTCTCTTTGGTGGCACTCACATAAAAAATCAAATTATGTGACATATAGTGAGCTGTGTTATAAGGCACTGTGAAAAAGATTATTGTTTTTTTTTAAAAAAAAAAAAATAGAAAGCAAGAATGCCTACTGAAAATTAAAACCTAGTGGTTGACATACCCTCATCACCATTTAAAGCACAAAACCAACAACATCAAGAACATCAAGGTTCATTCTTAGTTGCTAATTTGTTCTTAGTTAATAAAAATCAATCCCAATCTAATTTCTTCTTGTATTTGTTTAGA